GCTAGCTCCCCTGGCCAGCTACGTTATTTTTAGGCCAGTTTCTACTTTTATTCAGCCTGCAAATGAGCCTGGTAGAGACTATAAGCTTCCAGCTGTACGGGTTGACACGGTTCTAGTACGTACTTCAGCTCTGTGTGTTTTGGGTAAACTTCGGTGGTTGGTAAGGCCGGAATGTTCATATAACAGTGAGCTTATTGGATCAGAAGGTATATGCAGAGCACTTATACCAGGGCTATATCCACCACATTCTTTTTCTTTTTTTTGGTGCAGTAATATTTTGCCAAACCTCTAAACAGATTCATATTCATATTTCATTTTTGTGTGTTCTCTAAAACTACGTCATTCAGCCTTTTGTACAATGCATTGTATTAATAGGCTGCAATGTTGTTTTAATTTTATGTCAACTTGCAAATAAACCATTTATATATATTTTGCTGGCTATCAATTTGGCAGGCCAGACGATCGCCAAATACAAGATAGAAAAAAAAAGAAATTCTGGTAAAAATGCCTGAAAACGTCAAAAAAAAAGAGCCAAATCTTTGCTTGGAGATTATAAAAGGCGAAGAGGAAGGGAAATCAGGTGTAGCCGGTCAAGTGTTCCCCCCGTGCAAAACAAACACGTGTGCGCTTTCACGGGGGGACTACTTGACCGGCTACACCTGATTTTCCGTGCACATGCCCATATATGGAGCGGCCGATGGAGCACGGGAAATGAGGTTACATGCAGGAGATGAAAGTGGTGAATAATTGGATTTCCCTGCGCTATGAAATATCGCTTATTAAACACCTGGGCGCACCGCATCCACACGCAACTACAGAGGATAAGCGTTATACAAGATTCTGTATACTTGTACCACGCCTTGTTATGGTTGATCGGTCCTCTAAATGATAGGCGTCTTTTATAAGTGTGACAATACCTATATTTATCTGTGATTATATCTATATTTATCTTTGATAAGTGATTTCATTAATGTTGTTTATGATATCATGATAATGGAAAGATATCCATAATTTATGAATGGCATAAACATTTCTGAAGCCCCTTAGGTTATCCCAGAACCTTAAGAAGGTGAGTCAGTTTCTGTAACAACTAGGAAGAAAAGGACTTTCCTCAACTGTTGGGTGCAAAATATGAGGATATTTGAGTTGATTCAGAACCAGAATCTTTTTTTTTTTTGCAAATCAGAAAAAAATGAAGAGGCAAATCCGAGAACCAACAAATTAAATTGGTAGAGCCTAAACTTTAAATCCCCCACGTTAACCACACGACTTCTCACAAAGCTTCCTGTACTTCCCGGGACTCGAACCCGCGACCGGAGAAACACCAACACATCAACATCACGCGTTCAATTTACACAACACAGCACTTCCCACAATGCTATTCGCACTTCTTGGGATTCGAACTCTTGAATATACAGAGAAACATCAACGTCAAGGACTGCAAATATTTGCCCTCATGCCAGCACGTACCAGGCGTTACGCCACAGTTCACTGTTGTATATTGTGAAACTTATAAACTATGCATAAATGTAAACAATGTATTATGTTGTATGAGCAGTGGATTTACATAAGCACAACAAGTGCTTCCTATCCAATGCTCAAAAATCCATGTGAATAAAATAAAAAATAAATAAATAAAAACAATGTAGTACGTTCTTTTGTTATGTAGAGGTTAAAATTTAATCTTAAGCTAAAGCGATTTTTAAAGTTGTAATAGTGAGCACGGGATATATAATCAACGTAAATGTATGTAATGAAGCATGCACTTCAGCATCCCGGGACTGCGAAACCGTCTTTTTAAATTCTTCGGATTCAACCTGGCGACCGGGAAAACATCACCGCACACAGCCACAAGACTTCACAACTCATCAGCACGACTTCATATGAAGCTATCCGCACTTCCCGGGATTCGAACTCGAGACAATACCAGCGCACACAGCAACCCCCAACCTGAACCCACCGTCCGTGAGCAGCGGCAAGACGCTGTGTACACAGGACCCACTTCAATTTTCCGCATCGTGACAACACACAAAAACACCGACACAGCCGCACCCAACAGTGGGAGAACAGTGAACGAGCCTTTACCTAGCCTCTACCAGGCTTCGGAAAGCGACTGGAAAGAGTAGAAATCGGCCGAATAGAGAGGGAAAACATGTCAGGGGAGTTGGTCCGCTTAAGAGTACAGTTTACCGCTTTTAATGAAGAAAAGTTCAATGAAAATTTTATTGCAAATTCGTGCCCGGAGGATAATTGCAAATTACAAAACATAAAAGAACATTGAAAGAGTATAAAATAACTAAAGTCTACATGATAAAGGTAGCTGTACATGTCTAGAACTATAACTATGTCTAAAACTAATTGACCAATTTAATTGACCAAATCTCCTGGCATGTTATCTGTCTCCAGCCGCTTCTGAAGCCTGGTAGAGGCTAAGAGTGAATTCCTACATGTACAAGTTCACCTCACACGATATCACGCCACCACGCATCATAGCTGTAGTGTTTACAAATCCTGATTTACAACTAAAATTGTATGAATTACATCGCGTTGTATATCTTAGTACATAGTTGAGTGACGTTTGATATTTGTGTATCTATGGTTTTATCTGTGATTTTGTTTTAATGAACTCTAAAATACAAAGAAATGGACCAACGAGGTTTCTAAATGAACTGAGAAAGTCTCCAAATGAATTAAAAGGTCTCTAAATGTATCTGTATCTGTATCTGTATAGCCGGTATAACCGCCTTTCGGCGTAACACACCAGCTGGATGAAAAATGGACTGAAAAAGTCTCTAAATGAACTCAAAGGTCTCTCAAAGAACCAAAGGGCCTTTAAACGAACAGAAAAGGCCTCTCTATGAAGTACAAACACAGGCAAACAGATCCCTTTCACCCAGCCTGAGTCCCGAACAAAGCCTGGCCCACCTGCACTGACCCTTAACGTGTCAAATCACCCTAATCAGGTACACCCACTCTCTCACCTGTACAGGTACACACAGGTACACACCTGCATATCTGCCGACTTTGAACCTTAAGAACATGGCGTCAGGCCAAGCCTCCATAGCATGCCAAAAACTGGGGGTCTTCAGGAGCTTTTATGTGCTATTTTCTGATTGCATATAGACAACATAGCCGGCCTGGTTGAATTACCCCCGTTTTTAGAACTAGGCTAATCAGAAAACACCCAGTTCTATAAGCCTGCAAATCGGGCGACTTTGAACTTTAAAAAACTAGCTTAAGGCCAAGGTTATGTTCCAAAGTCTTCGCCCTTTTCTTATCTTGAATTTACAAGGTCCGGTTTACTCGCTAATCTGAGTCTTTAGGAAACAATGTTCCGTCTTGTAGTCGGCTTTTCATGCTTGAAGACGCTGAAAAGGATACATAATAAGAAACCGGACCCGATGTTTTGATAGCCTCCGAAGCAGGCTTATAGAACTGGGGGTTTGGTGGTCTTCGGCTGTTTTCTGATTAGCCTCCGTAGCAGGCTTATAGAACTGGGGGTTTGGTGGTCTTCGGCTGTTTTCTGATTAGCCCAGTTCTACAACGGGGGTAATTCAACCAGGCCGGCTATGTTGTCTATATGCAATCAGAAAATAGCACATAAAAGCTCCCAAAGACCCTGAAGACCCCCCAAACCCCCAGGTTTTGGCATGCTATGGAGGCTAGTGTTTGTTTCAAACCAGCGCTCGGCGACTGGTCGGTATGTACAGCAAAAGAGAAAAATGTTGTGTTTGCCTACCCTAGCCTATTTTTTACTTTGTTGAAATCTGTTGTATAAGTTGGATCACGTTACGTATGAACAGCCGCAGAGAAAATTTGCCCACACAGAGAAAAGAGATTTCCTGTTTCCCAACACATGAAAGGCAAATAAAACCCACGCAAGACGCCGCTTGGAGAAATAGAGACACCGCGAGAGAAACATTTTCTTATCTCAAATCTTTCATAATAAGCGAAAATACTGACATCTTATATATATGCCGCCAGGAATAACCACATTATGGATAATTTGATTTCAAAAACAGGCCAAGGACAAATACGAAGAAGCGCAATACATATATAACACGCGACTAGTCTAATAGCTCTAGATATTTTGTATTGTTGGGTTTTGCTTCTTCCACTTTTTCTGCAATGTGTGGGTTTAATTTGTGATGTTAAATGGACAGTAGTTTTATTTCTGTCTTTTGTTGGCTTCTTCTAAAAAAACTCTCTTCTATAAAAGGCAGAGTTTGAGATATAATTAAAACCCAATAAAAAGCCTCCCTATAGCGCCTGCTAAACGAGGCTATATTCTAGCGGTCGGCTCTTTTCTCAGATCGCCACAGGCGGCAGATGTAATATATAATTGCGCCGAGAAAAACACAAAAACGGCTGAACAAAACGGCAGGCGACATATGGCGGTACCCGGCATCAGCTAATATAAATAGGGACTACTTAGAATACAGAATTACGGTACAAATAGAGACTTAGAATAAACGGCTGAAATAATTTAGCGGGGGTGTTACTGGGTTAGGGACGGGGCTCGCGAAATCTTTTGAATAGCTTGTCACCCTTTTGCTCAATTTTAGATATTTTTATATTTAACAAGGCTTTTTCTACATGTTGGTATCAGCGGCGGATTAACATTGGAGACTATTTAGATTATAGAACTAAGTGGAGTTACAAAAAAGGAATGAAATGATTTAGTGGGGGCGTAAGTAGGTTACGAACAGGACTCGCGAAATCTTTTCAATAGCTTATCAATGTTTTGCTCAGTTTTACGTTTTTATATATTCTATCTCTTAAGAATGCTTTTATTTATACATGTTGGTGTTGAAAACTGCGACTTTCCCGGCAAAATTGCTACATGCGCCGCGCGAGTGGCGAGATCGTGTCGCCACTTCTGGATCGTGTTCGCCACACACAAACTTGCCACAACCGTACAGGTGAGACATGTTAACAGGTGTGACAACAGGTGTACTATGTATAGGTGTGCAGCAGAATGTCTTACAGGTAAATAACACTTACCATGATATCTCCTCAAGTCCCCGGCCAAGCTTAGTCCTCACATCTTCGTCTTCCAAGGCGTCTTCCGTGGACTGGCTCTTTAAGAAACGTCTTCGCTTCCGGGAAAGGTTCATGAGAGCCTCCCGTACTCTCTCGAAGCCCCCCGAGAACTCCTCGGCGGAGATTCTGCCGTCTCCGTCCGTGTCTAATTCCCGGAACACCGTCTCCAGCTCCTCAGGGCCAAGTTCAGAACAAATCGCCTCGAATTCCCCTTGTTCAAGGTACCCGGAGCCGTCTAAATCGCAAGCTTGGAAAAGTTGATCAAGGCTCCAGCCACCAGCGTCGTCCGTAGCACCAGCCGCCATCTTGTACTAAGGGTGTGTATGGGGTACTGAGGGTGTGAATGGGGGTTGTCAGGAAACCTCTGTTACCCGATAAGACAGGGGTCTACATGGGGGTTACAGGAATCCGGAGCCGTCCAAATCGCAGGCGGCGAAAAGTGGGTCCAAGATCCAAGCGTTCGTGTCGTCTGACTCCACTCCTGCCGCCATGTTGGAATGGGGGTCTGAGGGTGTGTATGGAGTTACTCGGGAAACCGCTTGGGATGAGGGTGTGTATGGGGTACTCAGGAATTCGCTGTCACTCGACAACACGGGGGTCTACATGGGGGTTACAGGACCACGTAACATCATATCAGTGGTTATAGGCCCTACCTACCAAATGATCTGGCCGTTGGATTTAGACCTTTCGGTAGGAGCTTCGGGTTGAAGCCGGTGCCCGGGTTTGGCGTGGGTTCGATCCCCGGCTCGGTACCAGGAGTGCCCTTCTGTTTCTGCTCTCCTAATTCTTACAAGCATGTAACGTTTGCTCTAAATATTGACATTCCGAAGACCCCCATGCGGACCCTTAATTGGGTGCGCCCACTTGCACTGTTTGCACCTGCGTGACGTCATCGCACACCTGAGGAGTCCAAACTTTCACGCCCAGGTCAACAAAGGTCACGGCAAGGTAAACAGCAGTGATACGGTCGTCATGACAACGGGACAGAAATATGCTAGTGGCAAAGTTTAAGTACTTCAGATTGTTGACTTACAATATCTACACATACAGTCTGAAGGTTCGGGTCTAGGGTTCAAATTCCTGGCAGGCACCAATGTTGTGCTCTTTATAGGAAAGGCATTTAACACCTACATGTATTTCTTCTGGCCGCCTTGTAGGTTTGACTGGCCACGGAGGGAAAGAATCAACCTTCCGCGGACTGACTTCCTTGGCCAACTTTACTCTCCTTTTTGCCGAATTCTACGATCCGGACCCTTTTTTATATTCCAACATTTCATGACCAGACGTGGTGACGACACACTCCAGTTATATCAACTTATCTTATGCCGCCACCAACGCAGGGGACAAATACACGACAGAACAGTTCTCATTTACACCTGAGCGAAGTGAGGAAAGTCGTGTAAAGTGCCTTTCCCAAGGGCACTAGATCCGTGGCATGTCAGGACTCGAACCCGGGATCTCTTGGCTCCGAGTCGAGCATACGCCACACGATACGATCCGTATTCCCGCAGAAAGGCCTGGTGGAGGCTACAATGGGTCTACCTTTACCTTTTACCTATTTCTATATTTCATTGTCAGCTCTTGTGGACATTTGGGGCATTAAAATCTTCTGCTAAGTTGTAAAATTAAGTGCCAGCAATAAGAGCACATTACACTAATAGTCATGACGTCACAGGGAGGTTCGTTACTCGTAGTGGTGTGGGAGGGTTGTTACGGAGGGTGGGTGCATTAATTCACCAGGAGAGGGTCTGTCTTTACTTGAGTTGAATTAAGAATTAAGGTGGCAATTCAACAAAGTATTAATTGAATGGATTCTTATGATTATAGAAGACTTGAGTAGTTGTGTAGAAAGAAATTGTGTAAAGTAGTACAGGCGCATAGAAATTACGATTGACAACTAGATCGTAGCATAATATTTGCAAAGCGAATGCATAATATTTTCCTTCATATGGTCGAGCCCAAGAAATTGTCTATTCTCACTCAAATGCATTCATATACATGTTGACCAGCCCCTAAAACTCTGTTCTGCCACTTGCTACATAATGAAACCCAACACCACAGGGTGTCTGCTACAGCACCAGTTACCATGGTGACAGACACCTGGTCCAGGTCATTGACCTTATTTGTTTAGAATGGAGACACGGAGCAAAAACTGTGTTTTTCAGCTTAATATACTATAGGCATACTATAGGAAAACCTAACATTTCCTTGAGAAATCTTCATATCAACAAATGGTTATATGGCAACCGCCATTTGTGTTGCTCGGTACCGGTGTTCCCTGATCCCCCATGAATACCCTCAGCTCAGCAAACGTATGTTGACAGCCCAGGAAATAATTCAACGCACGGGTGGCAATACAAACTGTGATACAAACTGTAATGTAAACTGTAATAGGGGATGGTAATACCTGGTGTGAAAGGGGCTGTACAGTACATCATAAAATGTTCGCGGTGGCGACTTATCGTGAAGATTTTATGGCACCGCGAATGTACGTTTCTAACAATTACTGCCATAACGCCTATTTAAATAGGGACTGTAATAGGCAGTGCAATAAAATAGGTCTCGTTACACCGTATTACCGTATTTTACTATCCCTAACACCTAAGGATGGTAGAGGCTGGTGTGTAACACCTATGCCTGCTTTAATAGAAGCTGGAATAGGAGTGCAAGAAGGCTCGTTACACTGTAATTATTGACCAAATTTGTGCCGAATTCTACTATCCATAACTGCTTAATAAGGCTTGTTGGAGGCTAGAAAATAATACATGAAAATAAGAGAGGTTAACAGTAATGCCGGCTCCAATAGGAGCTGTAATAGGGAGTGCAATAAGGCTCGTTATAACGTAATTATTCAACACTACTATCCATAACTGCCTAGGAAGCTGGTGGCTAGCAAATAATACGTGAAAATAACCGAGTTTACAGTAATGCCTGCTTTAATACGTACTGTAATTGGATGTGCAATATAATAATAAAGCTCGTTATACCGTAAGTACGTTTCCCCCTGACAGTAATCCCACGGACAAAACCATTCCTGCGTCTCTATTTGCCCCCTCCTTCTGGCCGCCAAGCCTGGAGAGGGGGCGGTTTGTTTCACGTTACCATGGCAACTAAAACAACATCTCCATCCCCCCAGCCAGAACAAAAAGACTCCAGAACTCGTTCCTACATCAGTCTATCAGACTCCACAATCAGCCTGTATATATAGTCAGAACTTGCAATGCCTGGGATGTACATTTCATATCAGTAATACATGTATGTATATATTCATGTATATATGTATGTAATAATGTTATGTGTTTAATACCAATGCCATTCAGGCAACATTATAGTTCTATATTGCATGTCTGCAATGTCGATATGGAAATAAAGTATAGAATTGAGATGACGGAAGTCGCCATGGCAACAGATGGCTACAGAGGAGTTGGCAAAGGAAACAAAGTGGAGGGCATGTTTTTCAAGAAGAAATTATCACTGAAACATCAGAAAAACCAGAAGGTCGCCTGATTTCTTACGCATTACGTTAAAACTATAGACGTTAAAAACTACAGACGTTATAAATATGTACTGTATCTGACGTTAAAACTATATATCTGACATCAAAACTATATATCTGACGTTAAACTATATATCTGACGTTAAAACTATATATTTGACGTTAAAACTATATATCTGACGTTAAAACTATATATCTGACGTTAAAACTATATATCTGACGTTAAAGTATACATCTGACGTTAAAGTATAAATGTTAAAGTATAGACATTAAAACGGCCACGGTTTGTTTATACCGTTGCCATGGCGAGGGATTTGCTACCCGTTACCTTGGCAACGGATGAAAGAGTGTTGGAAGTGGGAAACCGGTTCAAACAGTCCGTTGCCATGGTAACTGGTCCGCGCGGATCTGTGAGTCATCCCTCTGACCTTCAGGTGACCTTGGCGGTCCGACAGCAGAGAGAGGCTGTCATGGCGGTCTTAAAGAGCAGTCAATGTTTCCGGGAAAGTATAAAATTTTTCTCCGAAAGAAGTATAAAACCTTCCAAGAAAAGTATAAAATCTTCCTGGAGGAGTATAAGTCTTCTTGGGAAAGGAGAAATCTTACCTGGAAAGTATGTACTGTAGTACGCAAATAAAAAGATTCTGCATGAACAACTATGAAAGAGGTGCTAGTGAAAAATGTCCAGATTATACATGATTATACTTTGTAGGACACTAAAACTGGTAAAAAGATCTGGCTGGCCAACTCCCCTGGTCTAGTATATATTCTCTTCATTTTGGCCAATTTTTCCAGCGATCCGCGGTGCCTGGTAGGGGCTATGACGTGTTTATTCCGGCTGCAGATTGTCATTCATCATAATTATCTTTTCCCCGGGGTTGGAAGGAACCTTCGTTTCTTCTTCAGCTACGGACGTCATCGGGAAAATGGTTCATAACGAACCGCGGAGACACAAAGCTTCCAGCCGGACTGTAGTTATTATTCATCACTCTTCACAGATTTGTGATATTACCCGCCACTTCCGGTGGGAGGAAATGGTTGTTTTCTAAACTGTCAATCATATCTGGCCTTTCACGGGTAGAAAAATGCATCCCCGGCGAATTTTATTATATTCTTCATGATATGCTACATTTTGGCGACGAGAATGCTACATTTCACGACAAAAATGCTACATTTTACCACAAAAATGCTACATTTTACACAAAAATGCAACATTTCACCACAAAAATGCAACATTTCACCACGAAAATGTTACATTTTACCACGAAAATGCTACATTTTACCACGAAAATGCTACATTTTACCACAAAAATGCTACATTTTACCACGTAAATGCTACATTTTACACAACAAAATGTTACATTTTACCACAAAAATGCTACAGTTTACCACAAAAATGCTTGTGGTTACCACAAAAACTACATTTTACCGAACAAAATGCCACAAAAATGTCACAATTCACCACAAAAAAACGCCACAAAAATGCTACATTTTTAAGAGATGGATATCACGACAAAAACTATATATCTCAAACCGGAACGGCTTAATAATTGTACACAAAAGCAAGCACCAGCGGGGCCGGTTATCACCACAAATTGGATTCCATTCAGACCACAACAAAGAGGCGAGTTTTGAGTGACAGACGCGGTCGGCTGTTTATTACGTCCTGTCGTACCGGCGTGTTTTTCTCATACATGTAGGGCCTAGGGAAAAAATATTGTGTTTTAAGTTTCCCGACCGACCCTACAAAAACCTTCCGACCGTAGCCTAGTCTGCCTATAACTACAGACGAAATCACACTACAGAGAA